TCGCTTCAGCTGGAGCAGGCCCCACAGGCAGCAGATAAGCCCCAAGAAGCCCCCGCATGCAGTCGCCGGAGCTCGCCGCTGCAAGTCCTCTTGAGGTGAGCCTCACTGCCTCTGCTACTCTCTCTTGGGTCTTACACCTGAAACGGAGGGGCCGCGGTTCTACTGCTGCTGGGTGGTTGGCGGGGGCTCTGGCAGCAGTAGAAGCTTGGGCTACTCCTGTTGCTGCACCGGCAGTTGCTGCTTCGTAGGGTTGCAGGATGAGGGCTCTGTGCGGGTGTGGGGGTTTGACTCTGTCGTGGTCTGTGTATGCGAATGTTTGTATTTGCATGCAGCATCACAGCAGCAGCAGCAGCAGGAATTGCTGTAATACGTGCTTCTGTTTGTGGTGCGGGTTGCTGCAGGTTGCTGCGCAGGAGCGGGTTGTTTGCTGGTGCGGCTGTGGGGCCAGGGTGTATAGACGAGGCGGCGTTGTGGTTGACAGCGCTGATGGAGAGCAGCTGTTTCCGTTGCTGCTGTCTCTACTTCGTGGGTTTGCTGCGTCTGGCTAGCGAACGGCGCCTAGGTCTCCTGGCCTACAGCAGGGAATATCTCACCGCCCAGGCAGCACACAGACAAGAGGGAACGGAGGCAGATGCAACAACTGCAGCAGCAGCTGCAGCAGCAACAGCAGCAGCAGCAGCAGCAGCAGCAAGACCAGGAGCAGTGTCAGGGATGAGTTCATTTTCTGTGTTTTCTCTGGCTGTATTGTCGCACCTGTCAGTCACGCCGCGTTCCAATGGGGGGCGGCCCCTGTTTGTGGAGATGCCCCCCTTCGGGGTTGGGGCCCCTCGCGATAGCTGTTGGGGCTGCTGCTCTCCGATGCATGCAGACGAGCTCTGTGCTGCTGCTGTCGCAGAGTGGGCTGTGCAGGGCTTCATGCGCTGTTGTTTGCTGAGGCCTTCATGGGGGCCCCCCTTTCTCAACTGCCTGGAGGCTGAGGGCCCCTGGCGGGTCGTCGGCGCTGCCTTGAACGTGGGAGCTTCTGCGAAACAGGAGCAGAAGGAGCAGCAGCAGCAGTTGGATCAGCAACAGCAGCAGCAGCAGCAGACAGAGGCAACCAGGGCTGCTGCAGCGCAGCACCCGCAGTACGAAGCTGTGAACAAGTACCGCCGTCGTCTGCGGCGCTTTCTTAAGGTTTGCTGCCGTCGTGGTGTGGGCCCCGACGGGAGAGAAGAGACTGAAGGAGACAGAAGGAGACATTTTCTTGATGAGCAGCTTGCACTGCTCTCTGACGTTGCACCTCGGCTAAACTTAAACGCGGGTCGCCATGGTGTAGTGCATGCAGTGGCCCCAGAGCGGCTGCTGAGTCTCTTCGGGGCGCAGCTGCCAGGCGCCCAGGGGGGGACCTCGGGGGGCCCTGCTGCGATGGCTGGGTGGAGTAACGGCCTGGGCCTGCTGCAGGCGTTGGTGCAGCACATCGGGGAGGTTCTGCTGACTCCGTGTCGTGGGGAGGACGGTGTCGCTGAGGCTGG